AAAAAAAAAAAAAAAAAAAAAAAAAAAAAAAAAACACTCACTCACCAGAAAGAGGTGTGGTGTGATCCATGGAAGAGGCCCTACTGTTAGGGATACTGCCATGAAATCCTGCAGTCGATGCAGCAGATAAAGGTCTTAATTTCCATGCAAAGGATTGAAGCATTAAAAAAAGAAAAAGAAAAAAAAAAAAGGAAAGCGAAGAGCATTAAAAAAATATAGCACACAGCTACTGACCCTTGATTTCAAATGTTCTGCACTGAATCTGATCGCCATTACAATCAGGTACACCTGGCAAAGTTTGAAGTGTGATTATGTGCCTCTCTCAACTACTCACCACTAGTGCAAACTGAAAATGAATCTTTCCGCTAAAACATGCAAACGTACACCACCAACTTTTTTTTTGTCTTTTGTGCATTGCTTTGGTGAGTAGTGGATCCCGCCCCTATGCCCCTATCATCTGGAAATCTTATTTTATTGGGGTTCGATTTGCCTTTTACTTTCAATTCCGTGTGTTCCCGAGCGTCTTGCTTGGTGCACGGTGCTCTCCCCGTTCTCATGCTGTGGCAGCAGTCTTTTCTTCTCTTTCTTCTCTCTCCAAGCAATTCGACCTTCAAAAAGTTGGACGTGTGCTTCTGCCTCCTGTCGTCTTCCCCCGAAAAGAACATACCGTCATTATCGATGTACCTGGAACTGAAAGTTACCCCAAATACGGAGAGAGCACCGGCGGCATAATGATCGTACAGCGTATAGGTTCTATTCGGGGAAGAGGGTGAGAGTCCAAAAGTTGAAGGGTGTGTACGCCCTACCGTCTTCACTCGAAAATAACGCCCGGGCGTTACGCTAAAAAGATCCGATTTTCGTTTTTACTCACTTTATTTCAAGTGCAAGTTTAGAACGCCCCTTCAGATATAACACCCGGGCGTTATATTCGAATAGAATGTCTGGGCATTAAATTTGAATAGAACGTCGGGGCGTTATATTCGAATAGAACGCCTGGGCGTTATATTTGAATGTTCCATGGACGGAGTGCCTTGTAGAGGTAGTAGTATACATGGGTTTTAAATGGTGGGGAGGGGTGTATGCATGGGTTTTTAAAGGGGATTGAAAGGGGTATTGACTTCCAAATTCCAAGGGGTATATTTCGGTCTGATTTTTTGTTTTTATTTTTTATTTCCTAGTTTATTGCATTATACTTGTCTCAATTTCACGTCCGACATGCATACATGCAGATGCTAATGGCAAAACAACTTCCTCAAAGCAGAATCAGCAACAAGCTTGAGATGGGGCAGTGCGGCCACAAAGAAAACTCAGGGATATGGCCTTAGGCCAGGAACTCAGCGCAAGACAACTTGTCACATCTTGCGGCCGTGGCGTCTGAGCGCCAGTCTGAAATTCCCACCCGAACACTGTATCCACCATCAGACACACTCACACGCACGTACGCACACAACACTTTGATCTACTCTGAATGTCTGCACTCACACACACCATCTTCTATCTTCTACACACGGGCAGCTATGGCCGCCGTTGTCTACCTCCTCCTAGAGGCTATGGCCGCTTGCCCTCTTCAACCCGGGCTCTCCTGCTGACCACCTGTGAAATTCCCACCTGAACACTGTATCCACCATCAGACACACTCACACGCACGTACCCACACAACACTTGGATCTACCCTGAATGTCTGCACTCACACACACTATCTTCTAGTATCTTCTATCTTCTAAACACGGGCGGCTATGGCCGCTGTCGTCTTCCTCCTCCTGGCGGCTATGGCTGCTTGCCCTCTTCAACCCGGGCTCTCCTGCTGACCACCTGTGACTCAACACACAAGTCACTCAAGCAGCGCTTCCACGTAGTTTGTCTCAGAATGAGTCCAAGACTGATCGCTGCCTATTTCTTTATACTACTTTGTTTGGTGGTCTGGGCCTGCCCGATGTCCCAGTCCCTCAAGATGTGCAGTCCACCTCTGGTACTTGCTGCAAAACGGACTGGACTGGGACTGCCTTTTCATTTGCCCCTTCGGGGTTGACTTGGGACTCTTGACCTTTGAGAGATTTGACGGGCTGCCTCTACTGACTTCGAGAGGTCAAGTTGACTCTTTGAGACCTAACCTAGTGACGACCTACTGACCTTTCAGAGGATGTTTGGCCAGTTGACCTTTAGAAAGGTCAATTGTAAGCTTGCCTTTTCGGGACACCTACAGACGACCCTACGACTTCTAAACAATAGACCTACGGATCAAATCCACATGACCCGGGCTTCACACACAAGGCATTTCTACACGGGTTTGGGGACAGGTCGTGGCTTCAAGGCACACGGGGTCAACGAACAACACAAATGTACTGTACACTGGGTTGGGGAAAGTCTGGGGATCAAGCCCGGGTATCTGCAAAGCCTTTCTGCAATGACTTGCTGGTTCCAGGTTGCCTGTAGCCTCACTCTGACGAGGCTGTACCATAGTCAGGGGAGATTCACAGTTTTGTTTGGCTGAGGACTAACCGAGAGACCTGCCTGTATGGAAATTCGTGAGGGACATATCAGTAAATATAGAAATATGGGCCCAGTACTAACTCGATTTTCCTAAAGCTACCCTAACTGCGAATAGCAGACCCGGGCTACCCCTAGGACAGACAGGCCCTATGGGCCTATGATAGACGGTCCTATGCGGAACAGGGGAAAAAAGGATAGAAGTTCATGGAACGGAACAGAGAAGACGGCGCTGTTTTGACGACCAGTATATTGTGAACGGCTGGTAGTCCTTTCGAATCACAAGTACCAGACAACCAATTTCCTCAAGAAGAAAAAATTCCCATCAAGTGCGTATTGATATGAACTGACGGTAGGCAGGCTGATACTGGAGATACTGGCAAGTGCGCCCTCTGTGTATGCAAGTAAAGAAGTAGATAGTGTCAACTGATCCTGGATCTATTGTAGATGGTCTATTTGTTGTATAGATGTTCCTGTGGGGGAAGATCTGTGTTGGGTCGAGTTGTTGATGCGTGATGCGTTAGGAGTACCTATTGATGGAAAAGGTGGTTTACGCGCTGTAGAGCGAAGATGGGTAGAAGTCAAAGCTCCCGGAATGATTTCGCTTAAATCTGTACAGCCGCAAGCTTCCAAGGACTGGTGGCTCAACTCCCGTTCCCAACCAGCATCAGCAGTTCCATCGAAAGCAGGCCAAATCCGGACTGCTTGTGGTCGTTGCCAGTTGGTGGGGAAAGTTCAGTGTAAATGGGGCTCCCACTGCCTCCCAGGGGCTTAAACCGCCATTACACCCGGGCCTGGAGGCACTGCACTGCGTGCCAAGCTTTTCCTTTTTTTTTCCTTTTTTCTTTTTTTCAACAGGTCCTTATGGCCCTGGCTCCATATCCATTCTGGGGAGCGTCAGTCTGGTTCCTATTCCCCCGGCAAGTCAAAAAAATACATAGTTTTACCCACTCAACGCTTCCTTCCGTCTGGCCGAAGGAACCCTGACCAGCATTGATTACTCCTGTAAGGAGGATTGACTGTCAGCTTGCCCTGACCACTTGTTCCTCTCAGGCTTCTATTCAGAGCCTGTCGAATGAGTCCCTGCAATGCGAGAAGAGTGGGGGGGTCCACTCAGTGTTCTATTGCTTGTCCTTGTCCTTCATTGTGAGTCCGGTTTGCCTTGTTGCTGATCCTCCTTCGGGGTCTTCTTGGCCTTCTGCAAGGGCATCTGGCAGGAGACCTTATAGACTTCATGATTGTGCCTGGTGCCAATTCTTCCACCTCAACCTGTTATCAACTATCGTCGCCACCTTGCCCTTTAGCAGCCAGTTCCTCATGAAGGTCTGTTTCTTGATTGCTTGTCCTTCTGGTTTGTGTCTTATAGAGTTGACTATTCTCCGCCATTTGCTTCTTACTTCCGTCTCTGCCATGCTCAGGAGTACTGACCACATTTCTTCCCTAGCCACCTCTGCACCCTCGATTGCCTGAGTGCATCTGCGTTTCCATATCACCCACAGTGCCAGCTTCCTGAGCAGGGTGAACCATACTTCCCTGCTCCCCGTGATGTTGCTGGGGATGTTAGTTAGGATTAGGATAGAGAGAGGGGGAATGTCAGGGGGCGGCGAAGCGAACAGGATCGACCACAGCTCCCGGAACTTCTTCCATACCCATGTTGCTTCTGGGCAGAAGAGGAGGCAGTGTGGGATGTCTTCGGGAAAGTTGTTGCTGCACATTGAGCAGCAGTCCGAGCTATCAGGGTCGGAATGTTTCCTTCTATTATGTAGCCATTGGTTGACTGGAAGGGCTGCATGTGCTAATAGTCATTGCAAGCTTCGGATTCTGATTGGTCTGATGAGAAGGTATTTGGTCCATGGGATGGTGATGGGGATCGTGTCATCTAGGTTCAGTATGCTTCTCCATTTCTCTGTCAGCCTTGGATTTGGGTCACTAGTTTGTAGTCCGAGGTTATACCTGAACTTTACGTCGTATTCTGTTATCGTCCTCAACTTTCCGGTGGCGCCCAGGTCCCACATCCATTTTTTTGGGTCGAATTCCAGCTCCTTAATGTTGAGTTCCGGCTGGAAGATGATCCAGGCTTTCCTGTGAGAGACTCTAACCTTCCCGAGAAGGTAGGTTTTTATTTGTTCGTTTTCTGGTGTTCTGTTTAGGACCTCTAGTTCGTATATGCCGTGTTTGATGATGGGGTAGGACATGAACTTGGCCTGGTAGTAGTCGGGTCCGGTTTGGTCACAAAGTGGTAGGCTCTTGTTGGCGGGGTCTGTGTCGTGAGCAGTCCCCAATCTCCAGGTTTCCACGTGTGTGGTTCTTTAAGGAGGGTCGTTCGTGGGGGAGGAATGCTTTGAAAAATTTCTAACAGGCTGGTGTTCAGTAGGTGGCATCCTTTTAGGGATGTACGGAGGTCCTGTTCGGTTAACCATTCTTGTCGGTCCTCAGACCACAGATGTTTGACCTGTCATACTCCTCTCTCCACCCAAGACAACCATCTGTGGTCTTTGGCTTGGAGAGTCCATGGTCTGCCCTCTATGTCTTTAATCCAGGGATTGCAGAACAGGGGTTGTCTTAAGACTTCCTCTTTGTTGCTCAGGGACCCTTTCTTTTCTGGCATCAGGTGGCGCCAGGCCTTCAGGATCGGTGACCAGTAGGGGATGGGCGTAGTGGGGGGCTGATTGGGGGTCACGGGCTTGGTATTCCTAGCAGGTCTTCCGGATTTGATTGTCCATTCCTTTGCCATGATCCAGAACAGGCCACTCATGTCCGGTGGGGACGCTACCGGTGCCAAATTTCCTATGTTGTCCACCGCCATCTTGGTTCACGGGAGGGCTTGTTTGGTTAGGATTTCAATTATCCATTTTATTTGGAGGGCAATCGCTTCCTGTTTAGGGTCAATTATACCTAGCCCACCTTCTTGTGGTTTCTTGATGACAGTTTGCCAGGCCACCTTGTTTATGCAGGTGGTTTTGTTGGGATCACCAGTCCACAGGTAACACCTGGCTCTAGCCTTCAGCTTCTTCAGGTCGTCATCGGGAGGGGACCATATGGAGGCCATGTACTACAAAGTGGAGAATACTGTTGTGTTGATGATCAGGGCTCTCCCTAGCAGGGAGGCATGGGCTTTGTTGCAAGTGGCAAGACGGGTTATTGCTCTGGCGATTAAAGTATCTCCCATACCTTGCCAGATGCCATCTCTGTTTACCATAATGCCCAGGTATCGGAGTGCTTGATCACCTGTGGTCCATGACATTGGGGTGGATGAGTCTGGAGGTTGGGGGGGGGTGCCTTCTGCTAGCCACCATCCTTCCGTTTTTTACCAGTTTACCGTCATTTCTAAGGCCAGTCTGAAAGCTTCCATAGCGCGGGCTAGGGCCTGGAAGGAGGAATTACTAGCGCGAATCAGGACCGTGAGATCATCTGCGAACATCTGTGCGGTGGGGAGAATGAAGTCGTGGAGGGGGTTGTGGTTTTGTTCAGCCAGGCGGTCTATGGATGGATCCTTGCGGAGGAAAGATGCAATGGCTTCCATCATGAATAGGAATATTGGGGGTGCAAGGGGGTCGCCTTGACGGACCGATCTCGATATCGGATAGGTTTCTGACAGTTTGTTGTTTATCTGCACCCTGCCCATGGAATCACCATAGAGCACTCTTACCCACTCTCTGAAGTTTGGGCTGACTCCCATCTTCTCCATACAGTTGTGTAGGAAGTCTCAATTTACTTGCTCGTAGGCCTTTTCAAAATCGAAGAATAAGATCGCCGCTTGCATTCGTTTTTATGTGATCTTCTTTGCAGCCTCGTTTAGAACCATCACATTATCCAAAATATATTGACCCGGAATGAATCCTGCTTCGTCAATATGAAAGCATTTGTCTGTTAGTTTTATGATTTTGTTTGCTAGAGCCTTTGCTAGGATTTTGTAGGGCGTTGTGAGAAGTGAGATTGGTTTGTAGTTCTTCAGGTCCTCCTTGTCGCCTTCAGCCTTTGCTACGATTTTGTAGGGCGTTGTGGGAAGTGAGATTGGTTTGTAGTTCTTCAGGTCCTCCTTGTCGCCTTTCTTGTAAATTAGTGAGACTACGCTGGTGCTTAGAGATTGACCCAGACCTGCTTTTTCCTTGTTGTCATTAATAAAGTTCAAAAGGTCATTTTCCAGTATGGGCCAGAACTGGATCCATAATTCTTTGGACAGGCCATCGATTCCTTGTGCTTTGTCATTTCCCATCTGGAACAAGGCTGCATGTAGTTCCCCTAGGGTGATTGGTTTGTCCAGGTCATGCGTTTGTCGTTGGGTGATCGTTCTCTCTAGGTAGTTCATCATGTGCTGACGGGCGTTGATGTTCGTTGTTTGTGGGGGGGAGGTAGTTCTGGACTCGTAGAGGTCGGTGTAGAAAGATCTGGCTATTCTTACCATGCCTGTGCTGGCTGACTTTGTCTTCCCCTGGTCTGATGGGTCCTTTAGTCTCTCGATCATGTTGTTCCTTGCATTGGCCTTAATTTTGGAGAAGAAGAATTTGGACATGGATTCATTCAGGGTGTAGTCTTTCATTCGGGCGCGTATTTGTAGGCCCCTGAGTTCCCATCTTCTCCATTCATTTAATTCATCCTTGGTAGATTGGAGTAGGTCGTGGTAGAAGGAGTTGGCAGGGTCTGATGCGAATTGGTTTCAGCGATGCCGAGCGCAATTTGCAATTCTTCCTTCCATTTGTGCCTGTTTTGGCGTTTCAACTCGTCCTATTGTAAGAAAGCCCAGTTCAATCTGACTGCCTTTGTCATGCGATCTGTGGGGAGAAGTGAGTTGTTGAGTCTGAAAAAACCTTGCCCTTTTTCTACCGGAGAGTTGAGGTTGAGGAGGTAGGTCGGTTTGTGATTGAGCCCCTTGAAGGCTGCTGCTGGTAGGATATCGGCCTCCTTGATTGCTCCCTGCAACATGTCGAAAATTAGAAAGAAGTCGATCCGAGATAGTGATGTGTGGCTAGATCGGCTCCTTTTGACTAGGGAGAAGGCTTTCTTGCGTGGGTGGAGGATTTGAAAAGGGTCTACCAGGTCAAACTCCGTCATGATGTTTCTCAGGTGTCTGCTCGCTCGTGTGGGTCCCAGCAGCGTTGCCCGGGAAATGCGGTCCAGGTTGGGATCCAAAGTGGTGTTCCAGTCGCCTGCTATGATTAACGGTAGGGGGTTCGGGAAGAGTCATTTAATGCGGTCAAAGAAAGCAAGGCGTTCGGTTTCGTGCCAAGCTTTTCCAAACTGCCAGCGCAGCGCTTTTTTTTAGTTGAAACAAGTCTGGCTGTGTGACACTTTCAGTTTCGAACAGGCAAGAAAAACATGTGCTGGCAACAAAATCGGGTGAGGAGTTTGAAAAAGGGCGATATCGTAAAAATGGCTGCGGCCCGTGTGTGATTTTTACAAACCCGGGGCTTGAGTGAGTTTGTTGCCCTTTCAAGCTCGGCGTGCGGGTGAAAATGCTTTTGTTGCTCGTTTCCACTCAGCGTGTGATTTTACGCCACAACCGAACTTACCCCTTTTCAAACTCCTTTGTGCCACAACCGAACTTACCCCTTTTTTTCGTTTTGTTTTTTCGGCTGGCGCTGCCAGCCACAGTGTGTCCTGGCCGTTTAAAGGGTTTAAACGGGGTTGCCTTAGTTTTTTGTTTTCCTTCTTCTTTTTAATCTTTGAGACTTTGCCTCCACCAGGAAGTTTGATGAGACCCTGGGCCAAAATTGGTTTGCGCTGCAATTCTACACAAACATATTGCTTTTCCAGAGTTTTTTGGGGGCCCTTGTGCTGCCTGGGACCCCACACTTTTCTTTGGCACTGGGGCTGCCTGGAATTCCGGCCATGCAAGAAATTCCTTCCTTCCTTCTTTTTTAAAACAACGGCGCACGCGACAGGATTTGAGTTCGCAAAGGCAAAAAGAACACGTGCCCGCAATATCACGGCGTGAGTTTGAAACGGCAATTTGGGCAGAAAACAATCAGTTGGGCATTCTGTTTTTTTGCTTTCCCCGTCTGACACCACCGCCGACCCCTGTAGTTATGACACCCAGCCTGACACCACAGCTGTCAGTACTTTCACTGCTTTTTGAGCCTTTTTCCAACTCGGGCCCTGTTTCTTTGTCGGTGCATGTTTTTTTGGCTCATCTCGAAAAGTGACATCAACGTAGCTGCCCCCTCTTTTTTCCGGTGGTGGGGCATCCCTGCACAGAACAAGTTCTGCACCGCCGACCCCTGTAGTTATGACACCCGGCCTGACACCACGGCTGTTGGTACTTCATTGCTCTTTCCAACTTGGCGCCTGTTTCTTTGCCGGTGCGTGCTTTTTTTGCTCATTCGATACTCAAAAGTGGCATCAACATACCTGACCCCTCTTTTTTTCCGGTGTCGTGGGGCATCCCTGCACCGAACTAGTTCTGCCCAAATTCGGTCTGTATTTATCGCTTTTTGCATGGTTAGCAAAAGTTGGCGGGCGAGGGCACGGAGGGGTGGTGTGGGGGGTTGGGGGAGCAGAGGTGTGCGATGGAGGAATCATCATGACCATCACCCACATCATCATGATCTTCATCATGCCACCACAACTCGGGACCGCGGCTCTTAGACGGACGCAGAAGAAGGCACAAGGAGGCAGTCAGGCTGCTACTGTTGTTGGTGTTGTTACAGCACCGCTACTTTTTGTCGGCATCTCCTTATCAGTTTGATGAACCTGGACTATATCGCTCTTCGTCTTTCGGTGGGTCTTCTGTCCCAGCCTTTGTCTCAAAGTCATAACACGAAAGATGGGTGCTAAGTGTTGGTTTGTCCTGCCGAATTGTCTGGTTTGTGTCCTTCCAAATGGCTCGACTTTCTCTCACCACACAAAACCATGCAACGGAGGAATCATCATCGTCATCACGATCAACAGCATCATCATCATCACCATCTTCAGCATTCCATCACCACGATCATCATCGTTTTTTCTAATGCGCCCAGTGTGTGGGACCACTAGGCTGCCTACTAGGCGTGAAAACGCCAGGTTGAACATGGGTGCTGATGCCGCCCAGAAACCGGCCTGAGTGCCCCGCTGGGCCGGGGAGCCTGGCTGCCTTCGGGGGAGTTGTGGTTGGCCCGTGCACCTGGGTAGTTGAATGAATTTCTGAATTATCTGTCGTTCGTCCATTCCTCGACGATATCTCAAGATCATCGCCCTTGAAAAAAAAAATAAAAAAAAATTCAAACAGAAGGGCAAAGGTTACGGTGGGAAACTGTCTGGCTCACTTTTCACACCATCAAAGTTGTTCTCGGAGAAGCTCGGGCCTGCACTCTTGAATCCGACGTACCCACCACGGGCAATCTGCAGGGGAGGGAAAAAAAGAAAAAAAACAGCACAGCACAGTGCAGTCATTCAAAACAATTACCTAGTGTGTCAGACCTCAAAGAGGCCGAGCAAAGGCTAATAAAAGGCATACTGACACCAAAAATTTTCTGGATGTATTTGTGCACAATTAAGGCCAGATTCGGTCCAAGAAATACAAGTCTAAGTGTCTGGGGGAGATGCCATAGAATGATAGAACACAATGCACACAATCTGCAGGGGATGTTAAAAAAATAAAAATTATATTAAAAAAAAAAGCACAGCACAGTGCAATCATTCAAAACAATAAGCTATTGTGTCATACCTTGGAGAGGCCGAGCAAAGGCTGATAAAAGGCATACTCGCACCAGGACTTTTCTGGATGCATTGGTGCACAATTAAGGCCAGATTCGGTCCAAGAAATACAAGTGTAATTGTCTGGAGGAGATGTCATAGAGCACAATGCACACATTCAGAATGACGATGAGATGCTGTGTGGGACCACCTTGGGAACGCCAAGCCAAGTCTGATGAAGGGAATATACTCACACACTACCATTGGATCCTGGCCGTTTTTTCAAAGTCCTGGTGTGCATGCAGCCGCAACATTTGGGGCTCGGCCTCCGTAGCAAAACGGATGGTGGCACCAGTCAAAAGGAGACCCGCGCCAATCCGTTTTTTCTTTTTGGGCGCGCACTGCTCAGGGCATTTCCAGCCCCGGAGAAAAAAAAGCCTCGGGAGTACTGGTGAGGCTAGATGCGGGCTAGGCAAAATGGGTTGAGGGGAGGCCGCATGGTATGTGCAGCAAGTATTTTGGTGTTTGCAGGGTCGATCCTGTTCCTAAAGGGTGTATTTTTTGATCGATTCTAATCTTTCTGCTTGCTCAAAATTTGTGTGCGTAATCGTATGCTTTCTTTTTTTTTCTTCTTCTTCTATTTTTAATAGGCTTTCATGGCTGTATGTTTCGATGCTATTCTCATGCATAAAGTTGCGGCTTGCATGCTGCCGCAGATTTCAGGGCTCAGGCGCCGGAGCAAAATGGCCGGCAGCCTACTGGCCTATCTCAGTTGGTACACCTTGAACTGTTGAAGTAGAGACTTGTATTTTCTCTGGGGCTGGAAATGCCCTGTGCGCCCAAAAAAGCCACGGGTATTTCAGGGCTCAGCCACCAGAAAGCTCACACTCCAGTGGAAGCGGACGAGAAAAATACTACACCTCTGAATGCCAGGGCCACGCCGATCCGCTTTTTTTTTCCAGCATGCAGCGCATACCATTTCCAGCCCCTGAGAAAAGTGCCTTGGAAGTACGTTTCCCAGCCATTTTGCAGAAAAGCGCCATGCATGCTGGCGCGTTGGGTGGGATGCACCAAGTGCCGTTTCACCTGAAAATCCATCCAGGCAAATCGGTCCTCACATTCAACCCCTCCGTCCATTTTTCCTGGATGGATTTCGGGCGAAAAACGGCACCCTGGCGGCACTCCCGCCCCATGCGCCAGCATGCACAGCGCGTTTCTGCAAAGCGGCTGGGAAATGTAGGGGTGGTTTAACTCGAAAATAACGCCTGGGTGTTATAGCTAACTGACCCAAAAAAAGTTGAACATATTTTTTTACTCCCTTTTTTTTAAAACCTTCTCATCAAATATAACACCTGGGTGTTATATTTGAATAGGTGTTATATTTGAATATGGCATTGGTAGAATCACACAAGAATGCCTTTTCAGGGGGGAGGGAGGGAAGGGAAGGGGGATATGCATGGGGTCTACAGGGGGGTGTTAAGTTTTAACTCCCTCCCCCCCTTTTTACCTTCAAAGTTCATTACTCAATTTGAAACTGGGGCCGGGAAACCTCACAAATTCAGTCACAATCAACCCGGCAGATATTGGAAGCGTCATCCAGCTTATAGCTTACAGGATGACCGTCCTGGATAGCCCATCGCCAAATCTCTCACCCCCTTTGGTGATTCTGGGACTTAGCAACTGGTTCATTGCAACTGGTCGGCAGCTCTATATTGCGGTTCATCACCCTGGCATGTATCTGTATGGTCCATTGGAAGGGCTTATTTACCTCAGAAAAAGACTCGACATCTAAGGGCACCTGGCGAAAGGTGAGATGAAACATTAAGCACCCAGTAAGCAAGGAAAGTGCTCCGGTAAGCAGGGGCCAGACTTTGGATGGAAAACCGCCTTTTCCTGACTCAGGGCATACTCACCATAGGCCTTTTCAACCGGTTTCTGGACCCAATTGCAGTCATATACATCCCCGACTGAATGCGATTGCGGTCAGATACATACAAGAAAGTCCTAGTGATAGTACGGTCTCAGTCACTCAAAGACCATACTTGCAACCACACTGCACATGCGGCGTCGACACCTACCAGTCAGCCAGCAGCCTGCAAAAGAGAAAAAGGCGGGACCACCATAGCCGCCCAAACCCCCAACACTCCCCCCATAACCCCCCAGCAACAACCCCATTAACCCCCGCCCGCCTCCTCTCCCCCCTCCCCCCCCCCTTCCCAACCCCATTACACATATCTGAAAAATTTCAGCGGATTTGCGCTGTACTCAGCAACCGCAATACAGCCCCGAACTCGAGATAAAAAAAAGAGAGACAATATATCGCCCTCCAGCGACTGGTCAGCAGACCACCGACCGGTCGGGCCCACTGGTAGGTAGGCTGCGGAACGGTCGACAGTTGGCGACGGCGGTCGTCTGGTATGCGACCCAGCTGTATGCGACCCACGGAACAGATCTTATTCAAGCACAGTCATACAAAGTTTTCCTTTTGTCCCGTTGGGTATGAGAAAATATTGCCTGAAATAGGTCTTCGGGACATCTGTCTTGCGTTAGGTGGTGACATTACGCTCCTGACTCGTTTTTTTTTTTTTTTTCACTGCACATTGCGCACAAAAAATTTCCGAAGGAGGCACAGGTGACTGCTGAATCCAGGCCTGCGAGCCCTTTTTTTCTTTTGGCTGGCGATTTTCCCCTTTAACCGCACATGCCTTGCGCCGTACGGTGGGCTCGCACGCTGTATGTGCACAATTTTGCCCACACAGTGTGCGCCTGCAAGTATATTCAAGACGGTTATCCAGCACCTATTATCTTCCCCTAACGGAAATCACCTCCAGCCCAAGATTCATGTCTACCTCTTCGGCTTCCTGGACGCATGTACGGCTGAAGTAATTTACAGACGTCTTTCACTTTGTTAATGCATGAGGTACACGTGGGGAAAGCATGTCTGGCCTGTGCAGTTCACCTTAGAGGCCGGCCGTGTTCGTGCTATTTTAATGGCCAGAAACTTGTAGAAAGCATGACCTTGATCGGCCAAATGGCCAGGTCTGCGCTCTCTTAGGTCGAACATACCACCAAGGGGGCTTGGTCCTTAGGCTTCCTGTGGAGGAAGCACGGCCAGAAGGGAAGGGGAAGGGGAGGAAAGGAGGGAGAGAAGGGAGCGAAGGGAGCGAAGGGAAGAAATGGATGGGAGAAGGGGGGGAGGAAGTGAAAGACCAATTGAGAGGGAGAAGCGGAAAGGGCCTAGCTCAGTTGTGTGCGCCCGTGAACTGTCAACAAGAGACCAAAAGGAAAAATGAAACGTCACGGATACAAGTGGGAGTAAGCAGAGCGAGAAGTACAGAGGGAGGAGACGGAGGGAGGAGATGGAGGGAGCAAAAGTGAGAGGGGTAAGGGACCTACGGAAAAAGGAAAGAGGAAAACATAAGTCAAGCAGATCTTCGTCAAAAACGGTCAAATACACATTTCAATTCTGTTCAACAGCCGGGCCCATAACCTGTCTTCTTCTAAGAAGAGAAGTAAAGAAAACCAGCATGCTGGCAAGATAAACCTCTTCATCTGATAGGTGGGTGTACAGTCGACTATCATCAGTTGAATTAGCTCCCCCAACTTCATGAGGGACGCTGTGCCCGGTTCCCAGCAGGTGAGGTTTCACCAACTGTATCTCAGGGATCGCTGGACCCACTTTCCGGCAGGTGATAGCTCCCCACCAATAGATTGGAGCCCCTGCAAGACAGGTAGGAGTGCATGCTCATATCATCACTCCGACCTGTTGACGCGGGAATTCAAAAAAAAAAACAAAAAAAAGGAAAAAACAGCATGTTGGCGAGATGGCCAGCCTCTTCAGCCTCCCAGGGCCACCACACCGGCAGAAATATCCCTAGCTGTATCATCTGCTGCTGTGCTGTGCTGTGCAGCAGGTGCTGCCCCGGAGTAATAGATTGGGGCGAGCAGGACTGAATCTGCGAGTGGGAGACGGTAACATCACTCCCACTCACAGAACGGCACTGGGATTCTCAAAGAAGAAAAAAAGAAAAAAAGAAAAAAAAAAAGGTCAAGCAGATCATTCACACATAGCTGCTCACCGGCGCTACTTCTTCAACTGGCGACCGAAGATCGCGGTCCATGTCCATCCGCCGTGCATCCCTCTCTGCTTCCTTGGTTCGCGTATCTCGGTCCATGTCCATAGACCTCCGCCCATCTCTCTCCATATCAAGTGACCTTCGAAACTCCGTAACGCGATATCCTTCCCTTTCTATATCCATTGATCGGGCAACACCAACACCCTCCCTCCTCCTGGAACTGCAACCACCCACCCCCAACGTACCGGCACAACACTCGTTATCTTAGCAGTTGTTCGCATAGTCAAAGGGCCAGGTATGTATGTCCAATTTGGGAAACATCTTTCTGACTATAGACAGACTTAACTCTGATGTTAACTCAGAGTTAACTCTGTCTATATCACATGTGAGGGTTGACTTAACGTAACTCTGATGTTAACTCTGTCTATATCACAAGTGAGGGTTAACTCTGATGTTAACGCTGATGTTAACTCTCTCTGTCTATATTACAAGTGAGGGTTCTTGCTATCTATTCATGCCTTCTCCTGGTGGAATGCCATCTGGGAGTTATGAAGATATAGAAACAAGAACGGGCGCGGCAGGTTTTGAGTTCGCAAAGAGGTAAACAAAGAAAACACGAGCCAGCGAAGAAAACAGCCACCGAGTTCAAAAATGCAATTTCGGCAGAGAAGGATCCGTTGGGCCTTTTTTTTTTTTTTTTTTTAACTCCCACGTCTGACGACCCCTGTAGTCATGACACCAAGCCTGACACCACGGCCCCAGTTGGGTACTTTCATTTCATTTCCGAACTCGGAAGCTGTTTTCTTTGCGGGCGCGTGCTTTTTTT